TATCAATTATCTTCTGGTACAGCATCCCAACCTATTAAAAGAAATTTTTAAAACATTAATACAGTACTTAAATGTATCCCAACTACCGTACAATAAATCCTGAAAAGCTTAGAAAATACGGGGTAGCCTCAGCTAAGCGTACAGTACTGTATAATGCTACCAATTTCAGGGATATTTTTAATCATTTTATACTGCAGGTATTAAGTTTAAAATAAGTAATTACGATTACATGATAACCAAGGCCATCAGAGGTGCATTTTTAATCCCCCAGACAAAGACTCCTTTGGTGATAGACCTAAATACAATCCTCAATGAATTAATTTTTAAAGTTCCTCAAAGGAATCTTTAAACCATATAATACAGTATATTAGACCTAGGGAGATGCCCTCACCAAAATCATTGTTGGACCACTCGAATATAATGCTGAAAATTTGTCATGCAACATACAGACCAAGGAGAAGCGAGTACTGTACATTCAGTAACTCTCAATACACAAATGTCTAACTTTACCAGTTTCCCTTTTCACTATCCTTAAAATATTTCAAACCCTCTGCCCAAAAAATAACTTGCCACAGGAAGCCACTAATAACTTCAACATAAAGGTACATCTTACAGGATTAAGGATCCATTCACCCTTCAGAACATAGCACTTGTTACCCTGAACAGGACCACAAAAAGACATTCTTAGTGAGTTTTTACAGGATCCTTTATCTTCCCACCTAACTAGCCCAACATAAGTACAAGCAACTTATGCAGGGGGAACTGTGGGTATATACAGTACAGCCAAGAGCCATACATTAACCAGCAACAAATAAGTGATGGAAATTTAAGTCACTAATGAGTTCTAACAGACATAAAACAACGGGGAAGGAAAAGAAACTTGTTACGTAACTAATTTCTTCACCTTCACAGATGTATTAGATATGATTGAGTACTTAGGGTACTGTTTTACCTTTACACAACCATGGAATCTTAGAAATTTCATCTTTGCTATCAATATCACAGACAATCCCGAAACAATTCTTCTTTAACATTTCCCTCGCAATTGACTTTTATACTCGTATACGGTAGGACCAATTCAGTCAGGTTAGTAATTTTTACGTCAATTGCAAGGGAAGCATGAAAGAAAAGTGCCTTGAAATCGTCTAAACTACCGAGTGCAAAGTGAAGTTTTACTGTACTTAACCTTGGAGAATGGTGAAAATGAATCTTAAACCACGACAACAAACCGTAATTGCTCGAAACAAGACTAACAAAGTACTTGGGTTCATACAAAGTGAGTGTTAGTTACAATACTAACGAGGTTATCCTAAAAATATAGTGGATATTTGCCGTGATTGGCTAAGTGCCTACTTGTGCCACTTTACCATGAGTGCGCTCTCGTCCACAACCAACAAAACCTTAATAACTATATTTGACTGCGACTGGCGGCATTTGACATTTCACTGCGAGTCGCTCATTGTGTAGCTATAAACATGTCTAACCATATTTCTGTTGTGCATGGAAACTTAAGAGGTATAGATTTATTTTAGCCAGGGCAGACCCTCCCCCCTCATACTGCCGCCATGATAAAAATTAATCACTAATAACTAAAGTTTAATTGTTCTCTCAAATACTTAAAAAATCTAATAAACTTTGATTCAATGATCACGGTACAGCCTAGTATATTAGTCTTTCGAATTAAGGGTTGGATGCAGGTTATGTAAAGCAACATAATTAGGTATATAATTAATGCTCCTCTCAGAACACATGTCAGTTCTAAATACAGAATAGAACAGCTAAAAATTGGTCATATGTAAAACATTAATGGTACTGCTCAAGAATATCTCAAGTGTCGTATGGAAGTTCACAAGGTTACAAAACGATCCTGATCTTTGGGACGTTCTTTAGAAATGGAAGAAGTTTTTCTCTATTGCAAATTTTCCTAATGTTACTCATTAATCTCGCGATCTCTTGTAAAGTATAGTGGTAAATTTTTAAGTTTTCGATAATAGTTAGGTTAGGTTAACTTGGTAACTCTGAAACATGAAAATAATATAGCACGGGTCAGTACCAATTATACTGTACTCACATAAAAATAAACAAACAGTAATAGCCAATTAGAAATAAAATGTCCTAGTTTCCAAGCAATATACGACAGGGTGAGTCAAGGGCCTAGAGATGATGGTTGATATGAAGATTATGATTACTAATAAATAGCAGTAGATTACGAAAATGATTCCGGGACTTAGAAACCTTCCATATCAAGATAGGTTAAAGAAACTTAACTTACATTCCTAGAAAGACGAAGAGTGGGGAGATATGTTAGAAGCATTTAAGAGGGTGAAAGGAATCGATAAAGGCGATACAGATAAGTTCTTATAATATCCGAGCAGGATAGGACTCGTAGCAACAGTTGGATAAGTTTAAGGTTTAGGAGGGAGATAGGAAGGAACTGGTTCACAAATAGGGTGGTGGACGAGTGGAACAAGCTTAACAACTGTGTAGTTAGTGCTGGAACGCTGGAAAGTTTCAAAAGGAGACTGGATAGATTCATGGATGATAAGAGAGTGGTAGTAACTCTCGACAGGAGCTGCTGTAGTGGATTTCTCCCCTACAAACGCTTGTCGCTGAGTAGCCGACCCGAAATTCCCCAATGTATGCCTCGTGGTCTAGGTCAACCAGCGCCGCCTTACATGACGGAGGTCAACTACTAAGCCACGCCTACCTCCGCTATACAAGACCTGACCTCGTGGTGACCTCTCTTCTAGCTACAGCCGCAGCAAGCTACACCACCTCCTCCGCTCCTGCCTGGCGGTCCTCTCTCCCGCCGGCGAGCATGGCGACCCACAAGCTGGTCCTCCTCTGAGCATCCTCACCAACCAGCTCTCTACATCACGCTTGTAACCATGCTGCCTTCCCAGCACCATGCTGCATTGTACATCCAATACCCCACACTGCCATGCACAGGCCAACCGGCCTATTGCACTCATTTTCTTGTTTTTATGTCACCGGCGCATCACGCATGGGCAATATTGACTGAAGTATCCAGTCGCAATTTTTTTCGGCCATCATTTGATATTTTTTCAAAGGAATCAACCTGGGTATTTCATTGACCAGTCTCACAATCGCCGCGGTGAAGGTCGGTTGTCATTTGTGCAGAGTTTTACGAGGCAGACGACCATTCTATCTCGTTCTTAAGTAAGAACATAAGAAAATAAGGAGTCTGCAATAGGCCGGTTGGCCTGTCACACTCCTGTCGAGAGTTACTACCACTCTCTATCATCCATGAATCTATCTAGCCTCCTTTTGAAACTTTCCAGAGTTCCGCACTTATTACAAAGTTGCTAAGCTTGTTCCACTCGTCCACCACCCTATTTGTGAACCAGTTTCTTCCTATCTCCCACGTAAACCTAAACTTATCCAACTTGAATCCGTTGCTCCGAGTCCTATCCTGCTCGGATATTATAAGAACTTTATCTATATCCCCTTTATTGATTCCTTTCACCCACTTAAATACTTCTATCATATCTCCCCGCACTCTTCGTCTTTCTAGGTAATGCAAGTTTAGTTTCTTTAACCTATCTTGATATGGAAGGTTTCTAAGTCCCGGAATTACTTTGGTCATTCTTCACTGCACCGACTCCAGTGAATTGATATCCATTCTATAATAAGGGCACCAGAACTGAACCGCATAATCGAGGTGCGGCCTGACAACTCAAGAGATGTCGACATCTGGAACAGTTCGTCATTAATTCAGGGAATACTACATTCGAAAACGCATTGATGCACACTAGCTAAAGCATATTATACGACCGCAAAAAAATACATCCACAGACACAACCTATTCTAGAATCATCAGTGAAAGGAAAATATGGGCGCGGCACATCAGTGGAGCTACCCACGTGAACCTGGCCACGTGGCGACATGTTCACCTTGCTGCATACTAAAAATCTCCTTGTATGACCTTTATACAGCATATTTAACTTGTTTACTTTTGGAAATTGTTTAACCAAACAAACATTGCTGGGCTCAAGATGCCGTCAAACACTGCACCGCTAACAAACCGGTTGTACTAGAAAAATGTCACTATTAACCTATAATTAACCACCAGCCGTTGGTACCAAATAAATGTCTTAATATCAGGTCAGGAAATTCGATCACAAGGTTTTACTTACCCCTAGTCTAGAACCTGGAATGGCCACGTCACAATGAGTTGGTTTGAAGTCCATTTTATCGGCACGTGCTGCCCCGCCTACGGATGCTGGTTGAGTGGACGGAGGTAGAGCAGAGCCACACGGGGAAGCCCTAGCCCGCAGACAAGGTAGAAGCGGGATGCGCCGGGCCAAGCCTCTGTTTCATTAGCCAACACCTACGAAAATGCCTATGTAAATTAATAATTATTCACGAAAATCATTATACTCTTTTATAATTGGTTTGGCATGTGTATAACGCTTAGATGCTATTTGTGCGGTAAATTTGTTTTCAGTAAATAAATGAGGACAAGCGATTATATCTCACAATTCTTAATTATTGATTGTTTAGTTAAAAATGGTTCCTAAACTTTTTTTAAATGACCCCCTTTGCCTTTTATTAACCCCCATTTTTTAAATATATATAATCAACTCGAAACTATTTTGTCCATGGATCTCGTGCATATGGGGGAGATTGAAATACCAGTATACGTAGAAAAAAATTAATGTTACATAATTTTATTGAATATTTCCCAATAAAGAAAGAACAATGTTAATATATAAGTTTTTCACATGGCCTCACGTGCCCCTAGTTTGGGAGCGTTGCGCTTATATACAGTCAGTTGTATGAAACGCGTGTCCGCCATCTTGTGATTAACATGGTGAGGTGCACGACGACCATCAGTTCACCAGAGGTATTTATACCGAGTGTAAGACTTACAGTGTTGGTATATGACCACGAACGAAAAATAAATGGGTTAGTGGTCACGTTCGTGGTATACTTCATACATAATATGTTACATATTATGTATAATCCCAATTTTTAAGATATGCACACTTAACATTCATTGATGTAAGCTCATAGTCTTGGTGCATCTCCGTGGGGTACTTATAAACATTTCCTAGAGAGCAAGACAAGGTTTTGATGTAGCACGATCAAGATTGCTCTAGGATATATTTCTGACGACAGCAGAAATGATAAGTAAACCCGTGATAACGATCCAAGTATAATTTTGCTTAAGTAAGGTTTCCAGTTGCGTGCAATCGTGTTGCCAACGTTCAATAAAGAGCTATGGTGTTCGTGGTAGTTTTCTAACTTTATATTTTAATTTAGAGCACTGAAAGAAACCATTTAACTACTCTACCTAACATCCACAGCCATAACTCCTTGCGGAAATAAGGAAGTTGCATACTATATTAAAAGTAATTAAACCTAAGCATCTTGGTGTAAATAAATTACAGAACTCCTCTGAAGAAAGTCACACGACACTAAACATTCTACTTTTTCTACCCTACAAAATCCACTTGAAAGTCGTAAAGTAGCAGTAATTAGTTACATGTAAAGTTAGTTACCAGGACAGATAATGAACTTTCATTGCTGTTAACTGCATATTAGTTATATATTAATTTTTACTTCAGTGGCATCTTGTCTATATTGAAAGGGAACAAAGTATTTTTATAAGGATAGTTTAGGTTAACTAATGTTGAAAGTAAAGGAGAATGTGTACAGTATTACAAATACTATGACAATTGGTTACTGTATGTTTAGTGAGGGCAAACTTAGTAATCATTAAAAGTTAAACTTATAATTTCTAAGACAGTACTAGAGGGGGAAAATATCTGCCCCAAAAAGTAAAGGGGTTGAATTACCAGTTGCAGTCATAGTCATCTGAATTCTACAAAACTGTAATATCACCAGCGGTAGATTTGATCCTCTTCTTACTACCACAAGTGGTTTAGCTTATCCCAGTCAGGCAAAATTTCAGTACACATTAATGAAAACCGAAAAAAAATTGCTGCAGTCATCTGTGTTTAGATATCCAAACTAACCTAACCTAACCACAGAACCCAAGAACTATATCTAACCCTTAACATTCCCTGGATGACCAAAACTAAAATACAGTAATACCATGAAAACTTTAGTACAGGGCATGGATGCTACCTTATTTCCCGATAGTTTTTTAAAAGGATTAATAATTGTTTATGAAAGTTGTGCTCATAAACTAGCCATAGAAGCTTTAACATTCTTTAGTAATACTGTACTGTACTGTACTGGATGACAGTTGGGTAAAATTTTAGTTTTGGTCATCCCTGTATTTAGATATCCAAACTAATATAACCTAACCTAATTCGTAAAATTCCCCTGATGACTGAAACTAAAGTAATACCAACAGTTGTTCATGTTTACCAGTAAAGGACAGGGGTCTGGATTAACCAGCTACCTAATAAAAAATATAGAAGAAAACTTGAGAATGTTTGATGATAGTTTTACTGAACAATCCATTATAATATATGCTCATGGATTATTCATATTACAATATTGTAATACAGGTATACAGTATCTTACAATATACAGTACATATGCCCAGTAAACAAAACTTTGTTTTAACAAGTCACGCTTTGACCCTTTATTCTCTTCTCACTACAATATACAAATGTACTCTAACAAATTACAGTATTGTACATCACATTTTACATCTTTCTTCTTAAATATACAGTACTGTATAATGTAAACTTTACGCTGTCACATAAGATGACCCCACCAAGATGGTCAGAGGTGCATGTCCATGCTGTTGTACTTGTACAGTAGCTAAAACAACTATCTGTGCATACTTTGTGGGGAGCAGTATGAGACCATGGACGATAAATTTTGGTATATGAGGGCCTTCACTAGGCATGTAAAATTTCGGAGCATGTTGACCCCCACCTGCACAAACAATGTTCTCTTCCCCAAAAACCTTTCATGAACAGATTTTTCATAAATAACCATATTTTCCCATCAATTCCCATTATACAAGCTGAGTTACTTTGGTATGAAAAAAATTAAAATGCCACAAAACATGTTTTATAGAAATTTGTTTGTATACATAATGATTAAAAGCCAAATAAACATAATATAGTAAGACCTCCCGAAGCTGGACTATATGGGGCTCAAGACTGTCCGGTATACAGTATCTAAAGGAGGGCCACCAGACTGGTGCCTGCTCCATGGAACCTCAGCTACTCAGAGATTGGAGCAAATGCAACTACCTAGCTAATACTACAGACAGGCAAGGGGTGACCTAATCAAAATGTATACAGCTGCTCCCCGACTTACGATGGGGTTAGGGACCGACATCCAGGTCGTAAGTCGGAAATGCTTAAATAATCCATAGAAAATCTAAAATGGGGGTCACTTTTTCTTCTCAGCACCACAAAACACTCACTTTTAAGCTTGCCAGCCATTTTAAAGTGAATTACAGATTAAAATTTTGTCTGTGTACTGACTTTGGGACTCGAAAATCGTAATTTGACCAAATTTTGGTACAACTGGGGCAGGTCAGTAGAAGTGTGAGGGTGGGCGTAAGTCGAGTAGGTTAGTAAGTCGGGAGGCTGTAAACATCTCGAGTGGGGAAGGGGCACTACTCGGTTGCATGTACAGTACAGTCACAATCCAAAGTTTGACACCGGCTGGGTGTTCCGCAAGGCGAGGTTGAGGTAAGGCTGGGTGATCGGATGCAACTTCTACCACCACAACACTCAGAGACTCACAGCACACGAGCATGGAAGGAAATTTTTACGTATTTTGACATGACATGCACCTGCACAACAAAATTTCATTCATAACATTGTTGGCACATAACAATAGCAAGTTAGGAGTGAGGCATGAGAAACTTGGGCTGTTCTCAACCCAGTTATGAAATATGAATACAGCTCCTCCCCGACTTACGACCTGCCTCAGTCGTACCAAAAGTTGTCAAATTACATATTTTCGAGTCCCAACGTCAGTGTACTGACAAAATTTTTGTTTATAATTCACTTTAAAATGGCTGGTAAGCTTAAAAGTGAGAGTTTTGTGGTGCTGAGAAGAAAAAGAGACACCCATTTTAGGTTTTCTATGTATTATTTAAGCATTTTCGACTTACGACCTGGATTTGGGTCCCTAACCCTGTTGTAAGTTGGGAGGCTGTATTGATAAATATCACGTGTTGATGGACTAAAAGTATCGTGACACTACTACAGACAAAGAATAAGTCCCATCACAGCATGGAGGAGCCTTCTCGTTAGCTGGTAATGTGACACGAGGGCGGCCAGACCTCGGCCTCGTCTCGACGTGTCCTCCCCCCTCAAACTGCCTTATCCATTGTCTTACAGTAGACTTGCTGATCCCCATAAGCCGACTGATTTCACTAATTGATGTTCAACCCTGATTGTGACCCACTATCAGAGCTCTGTTGGCTATCCCCTCCGGGCGATAGGTTCGAGTGTTAGGTGGACGGCCACGTCCTCCAGCTAGAATATCCATATCAGTTGGAAATTAGCTCCATGTTACCAAACACCATGATTAGGACGTCACAGATACTTATCATTCAGGTGAAAAAAAAATAATCATATACGTAACTAGTTGTAATAATGGTGACCTCTGTGCCATAACTTTCATAATCCGAGACATTATAAAGTGAAATTTAAAAACTAAAAGCAGCAGTAGACAGGAAACAAGGCAAGTGACCAAGAAGTAGTCTCTAATGATGACACACAGCCAGGCATCTAATCTGGGGGTCCAGGTCTTTGGCAAAGTAACTGCTCCAGACCAGACCGAAATTGTTTGGGTGATTCATGTGAATTGCAACATTCCAAGCCAAAATACTCCAATATAGTTACTGATACACCATTAAATATTGTAAACATGACTATATGAATTCCTAGTTATGTGTAAAACCATAATATTCCCAGGGTTATGGTAATATTTACACATGTACTGTATAGGCCTCACCTTGTCGACTGACCGTCCTCCCTCTTGTGAAATTCGGCCACCCTGATGATTCATGTGTAATACAAGGTATTGCATCTAGTAGTTCCAAGCCAGTGTTTTGGGACCAGGCAAAGTTTTTCATGCTCCAATCTTAACATGTTATTGCTATGAGTGGCAACAATGTTGTGAATGCATTTGTTATGCAAGTTCATGCCATGTTAGAGTTCGTAATAAGTTCCTTCCTGTGCTCGTGTGCTATGAGTCTCGGAGTGTTGTTGTGGTGGAATGTGAACCTCGCCATTGTCGTGCCTTGTTACCACATTGCTGAACTAGTCTGCATCCGATCACCCAGCCTTACCTCAACCCTGGCTCCGGCGAACACCCAGCCAGGGGGGTGTCGAAACTTGGATTGTGACTGTACAAAACTGAAGCTGGTGGATGTCTGCCCCACAAGGGGTTACAGCTCAAGGTTGAAGAAGCCACAAGTCCAGAAAACTGTGAGGCAAATTTTTTTTTGAGTGAGAATTGTGAACTCTTGAAACAATCTGCTTGAGTATTGTGACAGCACCGAGTGTGAGCTCATTCAAGGCCAGACTTGACCAACACTGGTGCAGGTTCAGATATATTCAGGAGCCAGTGCATGACCAGTATCTGCCAACAGTGCGTATCAGACATGGCTGACCGCCCAAGCGGCGTACGAGCCGATCAGTGGCGAAGAGGATAAAATTAAAAGTACTGTATGCGTAACCTCCCTGTGGGTGCTTTCAACCATCAGTTTACTGAAAATTTCGTTCCAAAAACAATGAACATTGTACAAGTACAACAATGTCAAGCTTAAAATTCCAGAGCTTAGCCAATTTTCTATGAGATTTATGAAAGGTGGAATTAAATTTTTTGCAGGTTACCTGTACTGTAGTACTGTATCTCGAGTATAGTTTTACCTGTCCCTGGATAGATTCACTTGGTCACTATAAAGAATGGAATATAATACCTGTGTAATATTTATCTTGTTACTTATTTACAGTTTAATATATTATTTTATTGGAATGTTTGAACACTACTATCAACAGTGTAATTTCATGAAATTAATACAATTGCAGGACAATGACGTAGAATGCCCATGGAATTCCAGACATAAACCCATCAATACTATAATGACCAAGACTCTAGCCACGGCAGCTGGTGATGTAAGTACAGCATATTTTGTTGGCCAAAGCAAGCATTACTATACAGGTATCCCTTGATATACTAATGGGTTAGGTTCTGGGAAAAAAGTCGTTAAGTGAATTTTTGTATCTCGAATAACAACAAATGGGAAAATGGGGTTCTGTTCCCCAATGACAAAAATACTCCAAAATCAGGTCACCCCCCAAAAAAGTACCTCATAATAAATAGTACACAATTACTGTAATTTACTACTGTACCTAACACATCAAAAACATATCTAGATGAAAATTTGAGCTAAAACCCTCAAGCCTCACCATAGCAACCCAGCCCACTGGGGATGCTCCCTTTCCCTACCCTTTCCAAAGCTCTCACATCCCACTCTCTCACACAAAGAAATGTTTATTCCCTTTGTTTTGACCTTTTGATAGAGAGAGGTGCTAGGGGGATGTGGTGGCCCCAGGTGACTCCCAGGGGTGCGTAATTTGAATTTTTGCCAAGACCCAAATTCATATAAATGGGGAAAGCTTTCATAGCACAAAAAAGAGTGTTAATTTAGGAAATTAATGTAAGCGAATTTTCGTATCTTGCATATTTGTATAGCGAGGGATACCTGTACTGTACTCTTGACCCATGTCAATTTCTCATGACAGAAATTACACAATGTCCTACATATATGTAAGCTTATTATGTTCATGATCTCTCCACCATATCATGTTCTGGTCATAGCTGCACGACTACAGTTTTTCTTCCAACACATAATTAGAATTATAAGTTCTAGAAAGGAAAAGATCTGAAAACCATTCTCGGCTGTGACAGGTGGGTACTAATGATTTCCTCTTGCACACTACTTTTCTTTCTTATACATATTGTGTCATTAGAGTTAGGGATATCGTTGACTAGTTCTTCATGCCTTCTTTATTCTCAAGGTAATTTCCCTGCTATCAATGTTTTTCAGGCATCAAACACTGCAGCATCAACTAATATCAGTACAAGGAGAGCTAATGTACAACGTGGAGGTGGAAAACGAACATCTACAGAGGATCAGTCTGCTCGAGGAACTCTTGGTGAAATGAGTAGTAACAAGCTACAAGTCCATGTTGATTCTGATAAATGTTCTCTCACTATTGATATGGATAGTACCACACAAGAGAGGGGTGCCTATGTAAATTTTGTATGCCCTCAGATTGAAACCTCAAAAATTATAATGTATGCCCCAAAAGATTCTGTCAGTTGTAATTCAACACACAAAATAATTCCATCAAGAAATCAAATAAAAGAATGCTTGGCCAATATGACAGCATTAAAAAACCAGACTAATCTTGAACATGCAGCTGTCTTAGAATTTGGTATTTTTGATAGTTATGACTTAAGTCAGTGCTTAGATGTACACAAGAAAATAGAGACCAAAAAAGCTGTTTTAGAAGAAATCAATTGGATTGAACCTGATTTACTAATTGATTCACAAAATAAAGTATGTCCTGGGAGAATAAAAGAATTTAAAAATTTGATACACGGTTACAGATCTGTAGATTTTATAAGAAAATATGAGGACATTTTGACTGAAGATTTAGCAACACTTACTTGTGATAGAGATATTACTGATGGTGTGATTAGCAATTTTTGTCATATTTTAGGTAAGCAAGTTGGCCAAAAAATTTACTACATCAATGCTAGTTATATAACACACACACAACAAATGGCTAATAAGATAATAAACCATTTCAGGCAGCAACGCTTGTCCATTGCTGACATAAAGATTTGTTTTGTAGTCCATATGGGTAAGTTCCCATTTCCTGATTGTTCTGAGACATTTATTGGCCAACTAGAAGTAAATGGTAGTGTATATACAGCAGAACATTTCTCATTTGCTTATTACAGCACTGAAACCAATGAAGTTATATATGCAGATTCCTTGGGTTGGCCAGCTCCAGCTACATTTTTGAATATGGCTAAAGAATTGGCTTTGCATATTAATAATGATGTTGATACACCCACCCTTAGGTATATACATAACCCAGCCTCTGTTGGGGAAAATGTTGCTCATGAATGTGATCACCAGTGCTGTAAAGATTACCCACTTCAGAGCTGTTCTTCAGCATGTGGCATAGCGGTCATTATAGGCTTAAGTTTAATCTCATTAGACAGTGAATATTTTCAGAAATTATTGGCACAAGAGAATATCCCAGAACTTCAGTACCTAAGTAATATATCACAATTTTCTAGATATTTAAGACATATTTTGATGGACTGGTTTGTTTCTGGTAGAATTGATGTGAATATGTTGTATCTGACTGAAATTAAGACAGTAAGAACAATTGATGATACAAATGAGTATGAGCACAGTACTGTTATTTATGAAACAAAGCCAGTGAACAGGATGTCTTTTAGTGACTATGGTAACGATGGTGAAGATTATGAAGAAATTCAATATAAATTTAAAGAAGAAAATAGTGTACACAGTGCCAATTATGGCACAGTTCATGCAGCTACGTCAAATACTAATTTTGCTTCCAAAATAAAAATGACACGTTCTATGAGAAAATGTAATTCCAGGTCCAAGTATAATGTAGATACATCACATTTAAGGCCATACGTGAGTGGTTATCCAACTGTTTCATTTAAACAGCAAAGGAAAACTTATATTTTAGAATGCATCAGGGCACATGATGGTCATCGTGTTTCTAAGTCATTTAAAACTATACCCCAGCTGGAGGAGTTTATACATTCTGCTAATTGTTATGACTGGTTACAAAAGGAAGAGGAATATAGCACTCAAGTAAATTTTCCCTTCCCATATAATGTTGATGCTCTGGTCACAAAACCATCAATATCTTTTATCAAACCAAATAAATTGAGACTTACTTGCATTCCTAAAGTTGGAAAACCCAAAATCAAAATGTTTAAGTGTTCTCCAGCTGGCAGAGAAGATGGCGCTGCAATGGAAAAAATTAAAAAGTTTTTAGGGGACTTCATTAACTTTAGTTCATGGTTGAATGATTGGATTTTAATTGATGAAGTCATGACCGGTATAGAAACTCGTAGATATCTGGACCATATGCTCCAGTTTGATTATACACAGACAGTTTCAATTAGTCCAGAGGTAAAACCTTACCTTATTATACACAGAGACCCTAATTGTCCTTCAGTTTCTGTAGTTAGTAATCCAAATTGGGGCACAACTCATAGGAGTGATGATACCTTCTCTCTAAGACCAGATGCTCCATCAGACCTTTTAAATAATTCTCAGCAGATACTTCATGTTACTTTCACTTGCTCATCCAGAACCGATTGCTGCAAGACCAAGTGTGGTGAATTATTAAACAAAGTTAGAATTGAAAATGGCATATTTTCATGCTGTAATGAGGTTGTCCCCTCAGAGAAAGAGTGTTTTCATTGTAAGGCTCAAACTTCCAGTAAACAGTGGTACAAATTTGATGATCAGCAATTTCTTTGCAAAGTTTGCTATAATTATTATTCTCAGAAGAAAACTCATAGGCCATTAATTGGTATACCTACCACCAAGCCATTTTATGAACACAACCAGTGTCAGTTTAAAATAAGACTTGAATTAAAGCCTGACTTTAATGGCTGGCTAGTATATAAACATGTTAATAATGATGATGCCCATGAAAATGCCCAAGTGCTGGGCGTAAGAAGGTTTACGCTAACTGAACGTGATTGTGTAGACAAAATGAGGTCATCATCTAGTAAGATTACAGCAAAGCAATTGACTGTGTCAACTATGAATGAAAATAGTAATATACATCAACATTCAATTGGTCAATATCGGAGACGTTGTAAAACTGTAGATTCCCATCTTGTCAATAAAGGTATCCTGCAGTGTACTAGTGAAGAAATACCTGATGCTGTTAACAATATATTATCTTATTCAGCAGAATCTTGTATGGATACTGGTGATGAACTTGATCACATACAAATTGTACATGATGCATCTTCTCATGTGAGGTCAGTACCACCAGGTAGAAAAGCCAAAAAAATTCCACGCACTGTAACTTTCAGACGAGAAGGTGGTCCCATGAACTCAAACGAACTAATTCCAACCCAGAAAACTACAGAGAGTGAAGTTTTTTATAATTTTGAAGGTGGAATAAAAAACCAAACATCAGCAGTACAGCTTCACTCTGCTGCCACAAGCTCTACACCACTGATATGTTTCAAATGTGTTGAAACTGGGAAAGACAAACCATATTCTTGCCTACAAGAATCTGAATTACAAAGTCATGTCACGAGATGCCATAAAGAAAATGTGTTCTGTTGTCCACACTGTTATAAAGATAACCTAATTGAGGGATTCCCTAATCTAAAATCATTGAGAATTCATATTAAAAATCGACACTGTGAATACACTAACTTTAAGAAAATTCAGCCTGTCACCAGTTGTGTGAATACTCTTGCTGATGAAAATTTAGAAACATCCAAGAAAAAGAGGAAAATTGTGAGCAACTAAATTAAGTCTACCTACAAAATTGTTAAATCATGTGTTAAGACACCTTCCCAGTTGATGAAGACACAAAAGACTACAGTACTGAGTTGAAAAGAAAACCCTTTTGTGTCCTTGAATGTGATCGAAAGAAAGTACAGTTGCGGCCAGAAATTCGTAGTCCATCCGAGGTGGAAGGTATGGAGCCCATCCCACCCTTACAGGACTGTGAGTCACTGTCCAGATGACCCCAAATATGCAAGTGATCATCCCCTTCCATGTAAAGGTGACTGCTGCTAGTACAGGTACTGATGCCACTGGGTATCTTATAACTACAGTTAGCTAAAAGGGTAACATACAATGAAATATTTATATATATATACAGTACTGTATACATATTTATACAGTATATATACAATATACCTGAGTTAATCCATAAGTTCTCAATTTGTTTCATTGCTGTTCTTTTTTCAGCAGATGTTTTTATAAAAAGGATTGAGTAATTTTAAGTCTGTAAATATCTATTATCTTTGTTTACAATTCACAGAGGAAATTATATATATATATATATATATATATATATATATATATATATATATATATATATATATATATATATATATATATATATATATGACCATGATAGTTTTCAAGAACTTGACCAAAATGTTTCAGGAATTTTATACATGTACTATAAATTTATTTTGTTAAATCAGTGAAATGTATTTTTTTTTTTCCAGGTAAGGATAGGAACAATTATGACATGTAGTTTTAGTGATTGATAATTATTTTGTTTTATTCAGATGGGGATATATTTTTTACAAAGCTTATGTACAATACTGTAAATGTTTTAGTGATAAACTTTTTGAGGAACAGCAAAAAATAAAATGTTTGGATATAATCCTGATTTTGATTAAATTCAGATGATTTATTAATTTTATAAATCTTAAATTTTATATTATAATCAAACCTTATCCAAGTTTGGTTTCTCAAACATGGATTCAATATTTCACTCAAAAAAGATGCAGCATTTAATTATCAAATGTAGAAAATTACTTGATTATCCACTAGGTTTGACACTGATATTCCCTGCAACTTGCTGGCACCCACACTATTTACACCAGTGTGTATGAGGCATAAATTTGGAATCGAGGGCACTTATAGAAAATTCTTCATTTGTCTGCTGAATGAGGTGTTTGATTGGGATGGGCCAAGGATAAGAGAGAATTAGGTGAAGAAAGCTGCTGATGAAATGCAGAATAAAAAGGCTGCTGGTAGCTCTTGTATAGATACAGAAATGCTGAAAGCACCAGGTGATGTTGATGCGATAATGGTGCGACATTAATTTTTTGTGATTCTAATAGAATGTATTACTCCAGCTGACTGGCTGACGAGCTTGATTGTGAATACAGTACTATACTAGCAAAAGAAAGGGTGATGCACTTAAATGTGGAAACTACAGTGAACTAAAGGTGTTGAATCAGGTAAAGAGCAGTGAAAAAATTTATCAAGAAACTGATAAAGGAGAATAAGATAAGTGTATGTGCTGCCAGAGGAGACGTGTTAGTTTCATCTCTGTCTGGATATTGGTACTTTTCAACTATAACTTCTATTACATTAAAGGGAATGAACTGACTTACTGTAGAGAAGGTTAGTAGATTTGGCTGAAGGTCAGTAATAAATTTTATTTGAAAACTTTTGATTACTCTGAACCAAAAGTTGATTTAGCATTTCTTGAATAAGTACACAGCTGATTTATGGAACATCATCCTACTTTATTTGGGTAATCTATGTATCACAGATTAATGTGTGGACTACTCAGGTAATTGGCCCATATTATTAGATACTGTACTGTGTATCTAACGAAGTTAAATATTGTACTGCACAGCACAAGGCACTACATACCCCTAGGCACATTTCTTTTACCCATATATACACATTTCAATAGTTTACTCATCACTTCCTTCTTTGGTTTTTACATTTGGGTCATCTTTGGCCAGTGCATATGGAAATTCCACAACACAATTTGGAAGGGCCTCTTTTAGTTCTTGCAGCATACTATTCTTGTCACGTATCTCTGGGAGATCATACAGAAGCAAGTATTCTAAATTTCTGTTAGAAAGATAATAAGAAAATAGTAAAGTACAGGCAATTTTGTATTGTGACTGAAAATGTTGTTATACCAAAAGGAAGGGGCAGATTCAGGGGTCCTGGGGGTCTGGACCCCCCATTTTCATCAGAAAATTCCAATAATGCAGTATTGCATTCAGGCATTTTTTGTATAGTAAAAAGTAATTACTATTGACCTCAGAATATCTCCTAATATCAAATGCACATGACCTCAAAATGCCCATGATATTGGTCAGATTTAAAAAAATATCCTGGGGGTGCTTATAGCACCCCCCTCCCCCCAAAATCCACCAGCTGGGTGGATTCACTGCTTGGCAAGTTCTCCCACACACAACTTCTCCCCCTGATATTTCTGGATCTGCCCCTGTAGGGTATATACAGTTATACAGTAAATAAAAAAAAAAAGACAGTAAAATAGATCCTGGTGTAACAGGAGGTACAGTATTTAGAAGAAAAGGCATATTATTATTGTACTTTACATGAAAAAATTATAACAATCTCACTCAAAATGCCCTGAAAGCCCCCCTTTTACTTCCAAGCAATACTTTCTCTTTTCATCTGTAACTACTCCTTGTCCAGTATGCGAGTGGATAACTGTATAATAATTTAAAGTTAGAAATTGAGACATCAGATTATTTTTACAACTGGCAGGAACCATTCCCAAACTGTCATCATCATCGGTCATTTTCCATGCTTATTTGGGTTAGCCATGATTAACTGACAGCAGCTTTCCGTGCTGTATAGTCTCCTGCAGTCTTTCTTGTCAGGTTCTTAACTCTAATGTTATTTCTTACAACCGCTCCCCGTGTAATTCTTGGCCTGCCATTGGCTCTCTTTCCCCTACACATTCAGGTTCATAGACTTCTTGACCCAATTGGTCTCATCCTTTCTCTCAACACTAACCAGTTTTATGAGTAAAAAATTAATTACTAATATATACTATACAATACAATACATACTTTACTTAATAAAAATTAGGTGTCAATAAAAATACTCACTCCAACTTCTTCAAATTCCTTAGTCCATCAGATGTAACATTGCCACAGGAGGATATCTGAAGTTCTTTAAGGGAGTTCTGCAACAACAGCAACTGGCTCAATCCTAAATCATCTAGATACGATGCTTTATGAAACACTATACGACGTATGTGCTTGCAACCCCCTGCAAAGTTCCAGAGTTAAACCAAGTGTTAGAAGGAATGCAAAAAGAACATTATACAAGAATTTTACATCACAATTATGTTACGTAGGTTTAAGCTCACTGGGCTGATCCAGAAGTAGTTCTAAAACACAAAAGCTGAAGGATAGAAGCCTGAAATCCTATCATATGACTATGGGAAAAAGATGAGTGACTTGTGAGGTACCTTAATTAAAACACCTCTGCATAATATAGCTGTAAGTAATACGTACGACTAACCCAGGGAGAACAAAACCCCAAGCGAAACAGGAGTCATTCTACTTACCCCCAAGACTCGCACCCTTCAGAGAAGCCAGTACAAAAAACCTGGCCAATCAAGTCTAGTTAATAAGACTTATGTATTTTATCTGGATGCCTTGAGAAAACATGTTTCTTTAAGGTGACAAGGGTGGGTCATCTTACCCTATGACCTGACTACGGACAGCTGCTATGCTTATGAAGATTAGTAGGGTCACTGCCTAATGACCGGACCATTGTGGACACCTACGGTCCCCTAGGGACTTATATATTAGCCATGTCAAGTATTTCTCCTAAGTCTGTACTCACCTCTGAAGATGTGAATTACACGAAAGCACTTGGGAACTTCGTGTTTTCTTGTTTCCTTGTGTTATCAGTATATATACAGTTAACCCTCACTTTACGCGGTTAATGTAACCCGGAGGGTACCGCGGAAAGTGAGGAACGCGTAAAGTGAATAACATAACATATGGGATTAATTGAAATAGAGTCCAGGCCGACCCCCAAACTCCACTTTTTGACGACACACAACTATGTTGTAGTAAAAATATTATCTTAACTTTATGATGGCATGCACACACAATTAATAATTAAGAGAAATATCAATAATATTAGGTTTTTTAACACTTACATTAGTAGAAAAGATGGCTGGGCACACGGAGATGGGCGGTTGGTTCCGAGGCAGAGGGCAGATTATTGGCCCTCACCTGTATCACTTGTATCAATTGTATCACTATCCACCACAGAGGCTTGCAGGGCCTCTTTGTCAAACCCCCCAAAGTTCATATAAGTCCATATCCTCACTATAATTATCACTATCACTGACTTGGGCCGGCTGTAGTGGGTGGCGGGTGAAGAACTGGTACGGTAATGTTTTGATGACTGGGCGACCTTGTGCGCACCATTTTCGCGCCTCTTACACAACATGGCGGATGGCGGGAGGTTTGGATCCAAAAATGGCGCGGCTTGCCAGCCGCTCTCCGCGTAATGGGGTACACGCATTCCGCGTTTCACCGTTAAAGCGGTGCCCTGCCGGAACCTAACATGCTCACATTCCGCGGTGCGTGTACCCCATTACGCGGAGAGCGGCTGGCAAGCCGCGCCATTTTTGGCCAAAAATCCTTTAAGGCTTTAGACTTACAATTTTCGTCATTTCGGCCAAAAAATGGATTTTGTTCAAAATTTCAGTATATATATATATATATATATATATATATATATATATATATATATATATATATATATATATATATATATATATATATATATATATATATATATATATATATATATATATATATATATATATATATATATATATATATATATATATATATATATATATATATATATATACTCCTCGACTTACGACAACCCGGACAAACGACCGCCGTGGTGGTATAAAATATATTTCAAATTATGTACAGTATTTTCGAGTCTTGACGTTAGTGATCGCGCTGTGTACTGACAAAATTTTTGTCTGTAATTCCCTTTAAAATGGCTGGCAAGCATAAAAGTGAGAGTTCTCGTGGTGCTGAGAAGAAAAAGAGACATCCATTTTAGAATTTCTATGTATTATTTTCACCTTTTCGACTTACGACCTGGTCGTCGAGACAGAACCCCGTCGTAGTTGAGGAGAGACTGTATACTGTATTAAGAATGGAAAGGGGCCCTGCACCCCCCTAGGGATGGCTCTGACTCCTCAACTACTCTCTCTTCACTTTCAAAGACTATTATCCAACTTAATAGTGACATCTCTGTTAGCCAGAACAATTGGTGCAGAGCACTTCCGGGAATGAGAGATTTCTGGTTAACGAGACGACTCTCTCAAAGCCGGAAAAAATCCCTCATCCCCAGAATTTTCCGGGTAACAGAAAAATTTTCTCGGAAGTTCCACAAATTGCCCATTACATCATCTCTCGAACCCGGAAAAATATCCCTCGTCCCAAAAATTTTCCCGGTAACTGAATTTTTTTTTGGAAGTTTCAGAAATTGCCCATTACATTATCTCTCAAGCCCAGAAAAACATCCCCCGTCCCCGGAATTTTCCGGGTACTGAAAAATGTGCCTAATTTTCATCTCTCAAACCCGGAAAAACTCCCCCATCCCAGAATTTTCCGGAATATGTGCCTCGGAAAATCGTTCCCAAAGCCGGAATTTTCTGGAAAATTCTGGCTTTGGGAACAATTTTCCGAGAAAATTCAATTCCAGCTAATGGAGAGTTCATGGTTTGAGGGATTCCAGCTAACGGAGATATAAGTATTACTGTATGTCGTGGTTGCTGGCCGGAGTTAGTTTTCTCCTACGTGGACCTTGTCCACCATAGCCTCCTCAGTCGTCAAAATTAAATCCGGAATGTTGCCTCCCCTCGTTGGTTCCATTACTTGTTAGGTGAGGATTGAATCTTGAATAAAGTCAAGATATTCTTCTCCATCATCTTATGTGGTAAGATTCACTCAGTCTATTGCCTCATGATTAAAATCTTCCATGAGGGTTTGTGTTCTAGATGCTGTCTGGATGATTCTTATGAAGATTTGCCACTTCCCCTTCTGAGGCTGAGTCAGCACTATAGCATACACCTACTGTCAGCTTGTTTTTGTTTCAAGGCATCTCTATATTTACTCTTATTAAATACAAAAACATATCAATCAAGCAGAACAGAAAAAAATCTTTGAATACCAATGAAGTACATACCAGTACATATATGATAATTACCAGCATTGTAATAAATAATAAAATTACCTGTACAGTTCTATCATAAAACAAAACATCACTTTTCCATAGAATATAAATATTTCTGAGGATATCGTATTTAGTAAATATTTTCTCCAACCAGAACCGTATAGAAAATATTGCAACTAAAAGGTTTTACTCATCATCAAATTACCAGTAATAAATAGTACAGTACTGTATGGTATTCACATTTACCAATACTGTATAAAACAAAATATCAACAATCAATAAATATATAAGGAACAGCAAGCCCAATCTCTTATCTGAGTGAGCTGCCAGTGCATAAACACTACTGGCTGCCTTCACCAGACGACTACAGCTCCTCCCCAACTTACGACCTATTCAACTTACGACCACCCGCACTTACGACCTGCCTCAGTCGTACCAAAATTTTGTCAAATTACGTATTTTCAAGTCTCAACGTCAGTGATTGCGCCGTGTACTGACAAAATTTTTGTTTGTAATTCACTTTAAAATGGCTGGGAAGCTTAAAAGTGAGAGTTTTGTGGTGCTGAGAAGAAAAAGAGACACCCATTTTAGATTTTCTATATATTATTTAAGCATTTTCGACTTGCGGCCATTTCGACTTACGACCTGGATTTGGGTCCCTAACCCAGTCATAAGTCTGGGAGGAGCTGTACTGATAAGTTAGCTTTTATAGTTATAAATAAATTTATCTATGAATAACTTGATAGCAACAAGAAGATAATTGTCATAAAAATAAAATTAAAAGACAAATTTTATACCAAAACATGACTGGAGATGACAGTCACTTTTTCTTTAACTACCTCAGAGAGAACATGTAAGCCATTATGTTCTAATTCATTAGCTCTATTCATTGTAATGAATACTGTACAGTATCATAAAGACATTAAAAATTTTCATATACAATCTAACGCTTAAGAGGAAAACGCATAAAGGGTGACAGACAGCATAATATGTTTAGGTTTTCGCACTATTGTTTTGGTGTGCTCTTGGCTGTGTTGTTGTCTGGTTACTATAACTATGGTAGTGGTTTGATCCAGAGCCAGAAAAACATGTACAGTTCTCCCAGTTCAACTCGTGATTTCTTTAAGAAATTATTATTTCTCATATAGTATTTATCAAATAAATATAAATTTGTTGAAAAAAAAAAGATTCAGCTACTTATGGTGCAAAAAAGAAATTTAAATATCTAAAGTAAGGTGCATTCTACATGTATTTGAACAACATTATCTAATGCGATTTGCTCCATTTTCTACATAACAAAATATACCCTGTCCTGAGCAGACAGAGGACGTAAATCTACTCGTCCTTTAAGGGTTAATAAACTTCAATTTTTTACAAAACCATAGAATCCTCCCATAGTAGACTAAGGCTTTTAAACCTTGACTTGTTCCAGGTGCTTCTTATACACTAATAAATACAGTAAATCATATAAGTAACTTACGGAAATGTGGAAAACCAATGTGCATTATTGCAGAGTCAGTTGCATCAATTTCTTCTATTTTGAGAAATCTGCCACCAGTTGCTGGCAAGGTATTGTAGTCTTTGGTCCAATTCTCACTGTTTTGCCACTTAACAAAGGCTCCACACCGCAGCAACCATTCAGCACAGGCTCGATCAGGACCTACATCTTTAATTCGACTTTCATCAACTCTGTAAAATTTTAAATTTAAAAAGCATTCACAAATAAAATCTGGAGTTCTATGCAGGAACCCTTATTAACACATTTATGTCTAGAAATATTTGTCTTTGTTTTTCTTACTTTTTGAACACTAAAGGTGAGACTGTATGTAAGCTTGAGAAGCAGTGCGGGGATGGAACAAGTACAGTCTAGAATTTAAAGACAAATAAAAAATAGATTCTAGTAATCTTGACCATACCAATCACAACTCTCCTAGACTGAATATATAGTCACCACTTAAATGATTTATCACAATGTTCTTTTAACCCGAAGTACAAATTATATAAATTTCTGCTATTAAAATTACTAGGTACTGTACTTCATATATTTCTAATGTGTATAGCATTAGCGCAATCATGGGCATACAGGATAAGTAGTCTCTGGGAGTCCCCGACAAGAAAGACATCATTCAGAGCCTCAGACCAACATTTACATAACCTAAAATTATTAAGCAAGTACATTAGTGCCTGTTGAAAATTTTCTAAAGTAAGGCTGATAGAAGCAAAGTGAATGTGGAGTGTGAAAAATGCAGACTTATCACTTTCTGGTAGTAGTTTTCCTCTCAAAGCCAATTTGGGTGAGGAGAGCACAGGGACCATGATCTAAATGAAAGTGGTTATGTTTGGGGTAAATACAATACTATATGAGATCTATCAGTTCAGCTGAGTAGCTCTTCCACCAAATACACTACTTCCCCATAATGTTCTTCCTAAGCGCGACCTTTATGTGAATATGTGGTGTTTACACTCGAGTCTACTCTTTATAAAATGGCCATTATTATCTGTTGCTATATATGTTTTATGTCTTATGTCCTGATGTACATAATACAATGTACTGTAATTAGTGAAATAGAAGAAATAGCGGTGAATGTGTTCTCCGAAAGTGTGAATTTGTTTGTGACTTCGACGGTAAATATTCTTGAAAGTTAATGTTTTCAAGCAGTTATATCATTACATATAATGAATTTGGCATTAAAGTTAGCCAGAACTGGGTATCCTTAACAGTCATATATTGATTTACTTGAGATATATTAATATTAATTGAATAGTATTATGTATGAGCCAATGAACTCAGAATTTTTATTGTTTTAAACAGATCTGCCCTATTGTGCTTTGTCTGAAGGGTTGTTAGTCCTAAGGCCCTCAGACTACTTGGATAATTGAGATGACATAGTTCCAGAATCATTTTAATCACTCTGTATTGCACCTTTTCTAGGGATGTTAGATCTTTCTGGAGGCAGGGTTTTCATGCCTGTATACAGTAATCAAGACTGGGGCATATTTGAGATTTGTACAATTGAAGGAGTATTTTCCTATCTTTCTACTCAAAGATACACTTTATAATTCCCACATCTTGAGTTGCTTTCCTCACTGTTGCCCCCACCTTCAGTGAATAAGCTATCACAACACCAAGATCTTTCTCTGCATCTATATTTTCCAGGAAAGTGTTATTAACAGAATAGTTGTGCTTAGGGTTGTTGTATCCGACATGTAAGGTCTTGCATTTTGTTATGTTAAAGAGCATTACTGTATTATCATTATTATTATTATTACAGTATTATTGAATTTTGCAGAACCCTTGAAAGATGCTTATAGAACCCTGGTTGGGTACCACTGAACTAAACCTACAAGGTCATGTGCAGTACTAAAAGCAGCCTGGTTTGAGGGTGTACTGTATACATGAAAATATATTTTTCACTGAAGTATACTATTTGGTAATTTTACTAATTTTGACCAACACTTACTTGTTAAAGATAGCATTAAGCCAGCCCCAGAGATTCCTCTGAGGGGTAAGTGACCACAACTGGACAAAACTTGACCTTGAAGGAGAGAGACAGCTAATGCAGGGAGAATGTTTTTCTTGAACTGATAACAGTCCAAAGTCGTCTGCTGTACTTGTTAGAACGATCTGAAACATTTTCAATTAACATTAGACAGTGTTGTTTCTAGGAAACGTTTTTTGGGAAAGGGAAGAGGAAAGCAAGAATATATATTTCATGAAAAGATGGAGGCTGTAGAGTGTGGGGAGGGTGAAGGAAGGGGTATCCCCTCTTATGAGATGTAGGGAAGGTAGGGTTGTGGAGTAACTCCGACAAATTTTTTTTTAATTTTTAACTTAAATGGTGGTTTCTTGGGCTACTTCAGATTTGGTACTGTATTATATACATAAAATTTAATTACTTATTGTTTGTTAAAGATACATGATTAGGACTATGCACGTATGTAAGAGTACAGTAACTCGTGTAGCTAATTTAAATATACCACACATCAATATACAGTACTGTACTGTAATATCTCCGTTAGCCAAACTTGAAATTTTCTCAGAAAATCATTCTCAAGGCAAGAATTTTCTGGATAATTCCAGGTTTGGCAACGATTTTCCGAGGGGCACATTTACTGGAAAATTCCAGGGAATGAGGGCTTTTTTTCCCCCCTGGCTTTGAGAGAGTCGACTCATCACCCGGAAATCTCCCATTTCTGGAAGTGCTCTGCACCAAAAATGTTCAAACTAATGGAGATATGACTGTACATTGCACATCAGTATAATTGTGGCTACTGTTTTACTATTCATCTCACCTCATACTATTATCATGGTCAGTCACCAAAGCAGGTGATATATATTTTTGAAAAAAAAAATTCCTACCTCCTATAGCTACACCAATAAGCCATTCATAAATACTGTGTGTTCATAAATCAGGATTATAAATACTGTACAGTATTTATGAATGGCTTCGAGCAAATTTTAATTACTGTACCTTGCACTCCTGAAAATTACATTAAAATGCCACGAGTAACATAATTTTTACGAGCATTAGCCCACCCGGGCACAGGTCATTTTTAATGACCCACATCAAGGCCTGGGGGGCGAAAATAAAATAAAACAATAATAATAATAATGATAATAATATTGTAATAATAATAAAAATATAAATTAATAAAAATACATAACAATTATAATAAAAGAAAATATTAATACTACTACTGTAGTATGTGTCCTATACCTACCATGGATGCAATTAATTTTGGTTATAATAACAGAAGCGGTAAAAAAGATCACTATGTATTTACCCTCAATGAAGATTCCCTGACCCATTCACATCCTTTACACTCAACTGTCTCATTTTCTATTGCTATAACTTTAGATACTTTGCATTTTGCAATCACCACCTTGGAAGAAGATACACAGAGGCTTTTTGGCAAGTAAATTTTGTTCTTATTTCTTTACAAGAATTACATACCTACATACACATACTGTACATTAAAAAGGTTTTAACATGCACAGAAATCTGCCAAGTGTTAGATTTTATTCAAAGAAACAATATAAATAAAGTTTATGGGTTAATTCTAATTATAATAAATTGTGTTGGCTGTGTGTGTAAAGTGAAAGAAGGAAAGGAGGTTACAGCCAGTGTGAGAGGGGGGCCACTGCTAACTCTCTCCCTCCCTACCTCACTGCTTCAAGCCTTACTCATACCGTATACTGTACACCACTTAATGGGTAGATAATCATACCATTTGTTTGACTAAAACAGTTTCACTGAAAAAATAAAGAACAATACTTATGGAGGTTTACTCAACATAGTGAAGTATAAACTTAGTAAAGTAAAGATACAATCAATGTACACAAGCCTGTACTGTACATCATATAATTAGGAAATTATATTATGGATGGAATTTACCTTATCAATGACTTTTGGCATTTTTTGTTGCCAAGAAGTGGTGAATAGTTGGCGATACTTGATATACCTCACCATCATGTGGGTGACATCTTTTCGCACTGACATCATTTCTAAAAATAAAAAAAAGGAACATAATCATAGCAAACATCTTCAAAAATATCTATACAATACAGGTTTAATATTTCTAATCCAGTTTTCCATGAAGTATAACCTCCTGTGGTGTGAACCATTTTAAATATATTGTACTGTATTGCATAAGATTGTGCACTAGTGTGACAGAAATTAGGTGAGTGAGTTGGGTGTTCCTGGTGAGGGGGCGGGTCTGGCGCGGCCACCAATGTGAGGGCGCGGGTTCCCTCTCTGTTTCTACACCACTCTCATCTTACTTACTTCTCTTAGTCCTACTCTTACTCAGTTCCGTCACCTATTCTTTTGGTAGCATGGACCTTCTTTTGGTAGCATGGTCGAGGGTCAATGCACGTGGGGGTAATTCTGGTATCAAGTCACTTGGATGGAAATCAAGGTAAAATACTGTGGGAGAAATGAATACACATAAAGTACTCTAAAAAACAAGTTTATTAATGTGCAATCAATGGGGAAAGATATTGTATTAAACATATAACTACCAGGCTCAACTCCTGGGCTTAGTGGAAACTCAGTCCCTTCTTCTTTACTCTTACTCACAACATTACGGGTGTTACATTACATGGCACTCATTGTAAATTACAGTACTTACTCAACATACTCGTAAATAATTAAACTAGCATATACAGGGGTCCACTACCCAACATGGGATAATTATTTCCATCTAATTATCCCTAACATACATGTTACAACCCTCTCTGTGGACATACACTTCCAAGGAGTAACCCAGGGTAGAGCACTGGGGCTCACGCCCGTTGTTATTGTGGGGTAGCCAGACACATGGTGGGTCTGGGGTCTGGCCCAACGAAGCCGTGGGGCACATTAATCAGGCCGCATCGGTGCCATCGTTTCGTATATGATCCCTGCTGGTTATTTACTACATCCGGGGCCGTTGTTGAATGGTGGAGCGATTCAAGAATCACAATGGGATCTGGAGAAACATGGAAGCGGCATCAGGGAACATGACAACCCAAACAAACTCTCTTGTCTAGACGACAGACGTATTTACGTTATATTACTTCTACACTGGGTGAATGACAATTCAACTGTTAAATCATGAACACTGGTGAACACTGATATTCACTACAATTGACTGAATTAACTGAATGGCTACACAAAACATACCTGGAGAAACATGGAAGCAGCGTCAGGGAACGCTTTCCCTGCGATGCGCACGGGTGAGTTGCCAGTGATCGCTACTCACGCAATGACAATAATTACAAACAAACTAACTGTTACTTATTCAAAGATGACCCTCAGTTGACAAAGGTCTGGCGAATTACTTGAGTTGATTTACACAGACTAATCCAAGATTGAGCTTCCCAGGAGAAGTGGAATAAACAATGTATTGACAACTGTGTTCGAAGGCAGGACTTACTGGGAGGGATCACGAATGTAGCGTCTATGGGGGAAAAAACACGTCTTCTCAGGGGTCGCTAACTCACTCATGTTTTGCGGGCATGGAGTTTAATAAGAATCATTAGTTAAATAGATCCGCAGTCAACGTGACCATGACACTGGAATTTTGCAAAATACAAAAAACTTGTTGACACACTTTAAGTCCAATAAATGCACAAAATTAAAGAAAACAGTATTATTGTGACATAAGGAATCAAATTAAAAACTTTTAATGCCAACACTAAATTTAAAACAAATAAATTTTACCTCATTACCTGATAGCTATTGGAATAAAACCCATGCATGTAAATCCATAAAGAAATGTAGAGGTCCAGGTGGGGTAGGATCAAGAAAATTTGAAAATGCAGTACAGTATTGTACTGTACTGTACTGTACAGTGTTACTCAAAAACATGTTTTGGTGGCATCTGGAGCATGGATGACTAACGATCTGAAGGTGATTCAAGATTACATCTTCATGGGTGGAAGCAAGAGTTGCCTGGTTGGCAGAAATGATCCCGTTGAACGAGAGTCAGCGTCAGCAACCTGTAAGAATCTCAGAATCCAACGACGAACAAGAACCAGGCCAATAAGGTAAGAAATAAGTGATTCCATCATATGGTAAGAGTCCGTTAGGTTAGGTTTGGTTTATGTTTTTCTAGTGTTTTTTGGTGTATTTTGTATTCGCTTAGCCATTATTTTTTTTCGGAAAACGTCCCATGAAAAAAAATCGAAAAAAAAAAAAAAAACGGCCAATTTCCTACGGAAATGAAGGTCATATTTGGTCCAAACACACACAAATGCACCAGAAAAATATATGTTTGACTTTCTAACAAAGTGGGGTGCGCTTATGCAAATTTACCGACACCCGCCCCACAATGGGTCACAGTTCAAAGATGAAGAAGCCACATGTCCAGAAAACTGAAGGCAAACTTTTTCAGAGTGGGAATTGTGAACTCTTGGAACAAATTGCCAGAGAGTGTTGTGACGGCACCAAGTGTGAGCTCTTTCAAAACCAGATTTGACCAACACTAGAGCAGGTTCAGATACATTCAGGAGCCAGTTAATGCCCAGTACTTGCCAACAGTGAGTAACAGAGATGTGACCGACCTCTAAAGCTGCTAATGAGCTGATCAGTGGAGAAGAGGATAAAAGATAACACCAGACTGGACAACTCTCACGATCACTACCATTAACATACTGTATACTGTACGTTCTGTTACAGGCCGAGTAACCTCTACCTCAAGATAGGACAGTTTGTTTATAGCTATTTAAATGGCCAGTTTTTAGTTATTTAAAATGAGTTTGTCTACAGTTATTTAACGAGACAGTTTGCTTATTGATAGTTAAAGGGACAGTTTTTTTTATACTGTATAAAGGAACAGTTTGTTTACAGTTTTGTAAAGTTTGTTCAGTTATTTAAAGGGATAATTTGTTTATGACTTTAAATTTTAAAGGAACAATTTATTTACAGCTATTTAAAAGGACAATTTGTTTACAGCTATTTAAATGGTAAATTTGTTTATAGACACTTAAAGGTAGTTTGTTAATAGCTATTTAAAGGTGTGAGTAACTGAATTTTATGATATAAGCTTCCCGGTACTAAGTAAAGAAATATCTCATGTCTTACCCCGGAAAAACCTACTTCATGTTTCTTTCATATGGGGGAAACGTAAAACGAAAGCTGTCAAATCCTTATGGCTGCGCTTACCTTGATGTTGTACAGTATCTTAAAGGACTTATGATTCACTCCAACTCCTACTGTCAACAGAAAGGCTCAGCTGGTAATGTTATACAAAATACCACGTTCAGGATCCATGATATCTTTTTTCTTCAAACGACATGAACTCAAAAAGTTTATCTGCAGTTATCAAAAATTATAATAAGACCATTAGGTTAGGTAGTTAGTTTAGGTAATTTTCAATTAAAAAGAAAATTAATATTATTTACATTTCTAGTTCATAGTACTTTTAACATTAGCTACTTCAAATGGGTCCGACTAATTACCCAAATGTAGCCAAATATAGCCGGAATGAAGTCAAATAATGGTCCTAGATGAATAAATCGGACTGCCAATCACTTCTCGACTAGTATTTGGTGTCAGAAAGTCACAAAAAATTGGTAACTTAATTTAATCTGAGTTAATAGATCAAGTGCATGTACCTAATCTAATCTAATCTAATCTAATCTAATCTAATCTAACCTAATCTAACCTAACCTAACCTAACCTAACCTAACACAACACAACTCAGATTAAATTAAGTTTACCAATTTTTTTTACTTTATGACACCAAATAATAATCGAGGTTAAGTTAGGTTAGGTTAGGTTAGGTTAGGTACATGCACTCGATCTATTAACTCAGATTAAAGTAAGTTTTTCAATTTTGTGTGACTTTCTGACACCAAATACTAGACGAGAAGTGATTGGCAGTCCGATTTATTCATCTAGGACCATTATTTGACTTCATTCCGGCTATATTTGGCTACATTTGGGTAATTAGTCGGACCGACTTCAAATTACGATTTCTATATTATGTTCAGCGCGAGTGTCAGCTGTACCCTGGTGTACAGTTATTGCCCCCATATTGCCATACTGAATTAACATTTATATATATATTTTACATATAGATATTATTATTATTATTATTATTATTATTATTATTATTATTATTATTATCATGCATACTAAAAGCATATTTCCGGTATTTTTGCCATCTTGTCTTTATTAACTAAATTAATAAAACAGAGAAATATATTTGGTCCTTATTATTTTCTTATCGATCAAATGGAAGTTGAAATCCCAATTTTATGGAAAGCTGCCAATGGGGCATATACTGTATACCATTCGGGAATGTGATCCGAATATCAGCCGAGCCTATTGATAGTCGGCCTAGCAATATATGGTGAAGTATTCACTATTCAGTAATTATGTGGTGGGGAGAGAGGGTTAATCAGCTTGGACCACTCTCATGTATTATCTCCAATTGTATATTTGCATGACGATTTTACTGAGTATCTGGCTGTCTATCTATCTATCTTTCCAAGTAAACGCTTCGCATGTACAAAAATATAGAAGTTCCTCTCTAAATATAATTTTCTCGGGTGTAGTTACTAAAGAAAATGTTTTACATAGTACAATGTTTCATAAACTTTACTAAAATTAAATGTAGGCCATCAATTTTTTTCTCTATTTCAACATTTACTGTAGGCTAATCCACCTAGAGGAATAATTTTAGACAGACAATAATAAATCATTTTCTCAGTGGAAATAGACAAATACATAACTCATCACAAAAATATTTTGTTCCTTAAGCTACTAAGAATAACCCAAGCATCCCAAATTACAAACTTAGATTCAAAAGAGAGGGTTTCAGTTTAACAGGTTATAGATAATAAAGATAAAGAGGCGCCGACACTAACACTGTATTTCAGCTGCTACTGGTACACAAATGCAATTATTTTATATATAACAAATTAGATGTCGGCAGATGGCAGTGCAACAGTATCGTGCTTACCTCTCACCAGTGACTCCCCAGATCAGGTGTGAGTGAGCTGGTGCCGATTATTTATCGCAGGTTTTCTCTGGATAATAGTACTCCGGTTTCCTCCTCTACTAATCCATAAGAGATGGACCTCTCAGGATATCTGAGGAGATTACTTAGTTATAACTGATAGAATTATCCAATATAAATGTATATAAATCTAAAAATAAAGTCGAAGTGACACAATAGGCATCACATATATGAAAAATGTCAAAATGGAGACCAAAATATTGGGTCTGGTCCAACGATCATTATCTCACTTTGATGTAAGAAAATTTTAGATGATTGTACGAGATCTTGGTCCTCCCTCATCTAGAGCAGGTAGTCACAATCTGACATCCTCACTACATGAATGTCATCCGCGTGATGCATCTGGAGCTGTGGACCACCTGAGGCAGGTGATCTCATGGAAGGTGTACGGCAGATACCTGGTAAATAAGATCGAGACGCCTAATAACCTACAATATTAGGCCATCTAACCTTACCTAACCAACTAACTTTATTTATGGTTAAGAAAGTTTACCTTGGTTTAAGTTAGTTGGTTAGGTAAGGTTAGATGGTCACTAAACCAAGGTAAACTTTCTTAACCATAAATAACTTAATCAGGGTAACTTATGGTCACTAAACCAAAGTAAACTTTCTTAACCATAAATAACTTAACCAAGGTAACTTATGTTAACTAAGCCAAGATCAATTTTCTTAACCAGGGTAACTTATGTTAACTAAACCAAGGTAAACTTTCTCAACCACACCTAACTACTTTAAAAACGCATTGAATTTTTAAAGAATAATTTCTGAAGGTGTCCTAAACGACCATCAATAATAATACAAAAAATATGGTAAGGAACTGTATTGTAATTTTGCCTGTTTTTTATTCCGTAAAATTATGGGTCAACGCGAGTTTGTAGCGATTATAGAGGGATGTATAATTTATGATAAATAGAGCGTCTACGTTAAATTACAGGCAACTGTCAAGATGAGTTACTGACTTAGAATTTTCTATACCTGGCCGCTGACAATAAAGAAGAGGAATTTGCATGAGTAAAACGTCTTGTTGATGTATGCAATAAGTTAAGATATACAAATTCTTAACTGTTAATAAAGGCAAAGTTATAGGTTGTGAAATGGAAGGTTACTTAACAGCTCTAAGTATCGGAGATAAAGTTCTTACAGTAAATATAACTTAACATCATCTGCGTCCACTAAGGGAATAAATAAACCACAAAGAACCAGATTAAACTAATCGTTTTTTCGTCTCACTTTTGTGATGTAATTGTGGTTCCGAATTATTATTGTTGTGTCATTCATTAAATGCAGAACAAATGAATTACGTGTTTAAATGCAGAGAAATAAATGGCTCGAGTTTCTTTTGTAATTTTGGGTAATTTTTCAATTCTGTGGTTGTCAGGAAAGTATTGGCCACTTGAGGATGTTAGAGAAACTGTTTGTGTTCTAAAAGTTAAAGCACACATACACATAACACAACACAACACACACAAACACACACAACGCAACACACACGCACACACAACGCAACACACACACACAAAACACTATCTAATGTACAGTACAAACATGCCACATAAATTAACTACACAACGAAACAATAAAATACAGACCAGTAAATGAATTTACCACCTTATCTCTGTGTAAGTGTAGCGATACTAAGTGGTAGCCGCTTTAGACCACAAAAGATCACCAGTTACTAATATAATGTGTATTAAGTAAACACCATATAGAAAAAAAGTAAGTTTCCAATCCTCAATTTTAAGATGTTATTAAAATATTATGTGTTATAAAATCCCATAGTGATTTTTTTTCACGGTAGAATAATCACGGGGTTGTGTGTGGATGAGTGGTGCCTATGGTTGGCTCTGGCTTAGACAAGGGGAGAGGTACATAGTGTGTAGAGATTTACTATACCATGGTTATCAGTACCGCTACAACTACTACTACAATAACTACTACCTACGACCACCACTACTACCATTTCTACTACACCACAAATATAACCACAGTCATCACCAGCGCAGCTACCATTACCATTGCCACCACCACCATGAACACCAACAAAACCACCACCACGACCACTACAACCATCCGCATCACCACCACCATGCTTACCTTCCACTACCTCCACCCACCAACACCACATTTACCAACCCCCTCCCCTCTCACTACCACCACCACTGTCACCCCTACCATTATCCTTCCCCCACCTATCCCCTTCCCCCCTCCCCCACCTGACCCCAAAACACAGCTCACGAGTCAAATTGCACTTTACAACCTTATAAATATGATGTCGTGAAAGCGGGCACGGGGGGGGGGTGAAAGTGGGGAGAGGGGGGGTATGTGATGGCACGCGAATGATACCCTAAGAAACCGCACAATACGATCGACTCCATACCCTAGAAAAAATGGGTATCTTGGGTATTTTCTCGTGGTAATGATGTAGAGGGTAAGGCTGAGAGTAGCAGGGGTATGTCTGATGGGCAGGAACACGCCAGTCGTGGTATGCAGGGCGCGGGAGGTTAGGCGTGGGACGCACTCGGGCGTACGATTGATGGCTCAGGGGCAGGGGTTGGCCAGGGCGTGGGGACGGTGGGCTGGTGTCGGCATGGGCGTGGGGATGGTATGTTGGTGAGGGCGCGAGGATGGCATGTGTGTGTGTGTGTGTGTGTGTGTGTGTGTGTAGATGATTAAGTATAAGCATAGTGGAACAACATGGGCGACATGATGTGGGTGGCAGGAGGGTGAATATCGAGTGTGGGTGGCAGGAGGGTGAATATTGAGGTGTGGGTGGCAGGAGAATGGGTATCGAGGTGTGGGTGGGGAGGATGAGTATCAGGTGGGTGGCAGGAGGATGAGTATCGAGGTGTGGGTGGCAGGAGGATGAGTATCGAGGTGTGGGTGGCAGGTGAATATCGAGGTGTGGGTGGCAGGAGGTGAATATCGAGGTGTGGGTGGCAGGAGGGTGAATATCGAGGTGTGGGTGGCAGGAGAATGGGTATCGAGGTGTGGTGGCAGGAGGATGAGTATCGAGGCGTGGGTGGCAGGAGGATGAGTATCGAGGTGTGGGTGGCAGGAGGATGAGTATCGAGGTGTGGGTGGCAGGAGGATGAGTATCGAGGTGTGGGTGGCAGGAGGATGAGTATTGAGGTGTGGGTGGCAGGAGGATGAGTATCGAGGTGTAGGTGGCAGGAGGATGAGTATCGAGGTGTGGGTGGCAGGAGGATGGTATCGAGGTGTGGGTGGCAGGAGGATGAGTATCGAGGTGTGGGTGGCAGGAGGATGAGTATCGAGGTGTGGGTGGCAGGAGGATGAGTATCGAGGTGTGGGTGGCAGGAGGATGAGTATTGAGGTGCAGGTGGCAGGCAGGGGGATGAGTATCGAGGTGTGGGTGGCAGGAGGATGGGTGTCAGAGTGTAGGCTTGGATGGAGAAGCATGGATGGCAGGGTGTGGGTGGCAGGAGGGAGGGAAGGGTAGGGGGGGGGGAGCAGAGGGCGGCACGACCAGGTCCAGGGCGTGACCAGGGGCCGCCACGTACCCACCATCACAGCGACCCACACCAACCACTCTTTTCTTTTTATAGTCTCACACGCATACCAGACCTTCTCTCCTTCTCTCTCCTCTTCCACGCCATTATCATCCCATCTCTCCTTCTCTCCCTCCTTCCCCCCTCCCGCTAGCGGTCAGGAACGGGTCAAAAACATGTCTCGATTAGCGGCACTCGACACTAACTGGGTGAGCTGACGTCACCGCTGGTGGGTGAGGAGGAAGGCGTGAGCGAAGGCTTTTGTTTTTGTTGTGTGAGGAGACTTGAAGCCGTCACGGCCTCCCTCCCACCACGGGGAAGGTGACAGTGACTCACCTACCTCCTGCAGCGCCACCTACCTCTTGGGATACTCACTTACCTTCTTGGACACTAATTTGCCTCCTGGGGGCATTCACCTACCTCCTGGGGGCATTCACCTACCTCCTGGGGCATTCACCTGCCTTCTGGGCCATTCACCTACCTCCTGGGGCATTCTTCTGCCTTCTGGGCCATTCACCTACCTCCTGGGGGCATTCACCTACCTCCTGGGGATTTCACCTGCCTTCTGGGCCATTCACCTACCTCCTGGGGACATTCATCTACCTCCTGGGGGGCATTCACCTACCTCTTGGGAGCATTCACCTACCTCCTGGAGCGTTCACATGCCTCCCAGTACATCCAAGCACCTCCTAGGACACTCACCTGGTTGCAGAATATACCGACCTCGTGTACACCTAACGGCATTCGGCTGTGCTTGACTTAATAAGCACAACATTCAGGCGTACTTAAGATACACTTAAAATACTTAAACACACTTATAAGAGGTAATACTTTGCACTCTGATCTAACGTAACGCTTTGAAAGACTGAGTTTATTTAAGTGATTTTCTTTTTTATATATTTATGTCTGTCTTCTGGTGCAGCTGCTCCTAAGTGCGTGAAGTGTAAGTTGATTTTGGGAATTATTTAGTGTACCTGAAATATTCTTGAGTGTTTAGTTTTGGTATGTGTGTGTGTGTATATGTGTGTGTGTGTGTGTGTGTGTGTGTGTGTGTGTGTGTGTGTGTGTGTGTGTGTGTGTGTGTGTGTGTGTGTGTGTGTGTGTGTGTAAATAGTTAAGGAACAAGATATAACTAAGATAACAGAGAGATAACAGTTGTATCCTCCCCCTGACATCTACAGTATAACAAGTAACTGCAATGACCTTCACATCGAGGGTACAGTAGGGTACAGTAGGGGGGTACAGTAAGGTACAATAACTCCATCTAACCTGTATCAAGTTATTTAGTGGTGATAAACAACTACGCTGTATCTCCCTAACTTTAAGTCGGTGCGGGGTGGGGGGTTAGTGGGGGGGTTAGTGGGGGGGTTAGTGGGGGGTTAGTTGGGGGTTAGGGGTTAGTTAGTGGAGGTTAGGTTAGTGGAGGTTAGGTTAGTGGAGGTTAGGTTGGTGGAGGTTGGGTTAGTGGAGGTTAGTGGTGGAGGTTAGGGGTTAGTGGGGGGTGTGGGGTTGGTGGGGGTGTGGGGTTAGTGGGGGTGTGGGGTTAGTGGGAGGTGAGGGTGGAGTT